CAGACTGAACTGATAAGGTGCCCCTATTAGTGATAGGGAAATCATTAGGTAAACAAAATGCTTGAAATGGAGGAATTAGGACTGATCATCTTTTTTCTACCTCATAGACATAAAATGCTTAGGCCGGAGGAATTAGACTGATCATCTTTTTTTTTCCTGCCTCATAGACATACCTGTCCTGAGATACATCGATGAAACCAGATCTATTACTTAGTCCCCAGAGATTGACCGCCATCGGAGTTGACTATATTTGACATAAAGAAAAACCAGTTATTGATTGTCTTGATAGAATACAATGAAGCAGGAGCCTAAAAACACTTTACTGTTAGAGCTGCAGTTATCTAGACTTACCAGCAATTGTAGACTTGTATAGGCATTATTGGATATTTTTGTTTCAGGGTCTGTATGACAGGCAAGGAGTTCATCAAATGAATAGCAACTGGTTAGATCAACTGATGCCAGAGATTGTAAGAAGAATTTTGTCATTATCAAGTATTTGGTGCTTTGTTTTTAGGCACATCAATTATAGAAATCCATGGATCCCAACAAATGTAAAGTTGTTTTGCTTCACTGTAGGATCCCAGCAAATAAGGAAGTAGCTTTAGCTTCACTGTGGTGATCCAAGCAGCGTTGTGTGACACTCCTGATGGGATAGTGCTTCTGTTTGTGTGTGTTATTTTGTAGCTCGTATTAAATGGCGCTTAGGGACTGGACAGATGAGTCACTAGATATGAGTGACCTTCCTGGCAACAAACACTGAGGGAGACTACTCAGGGATAGACTTCTCCTGCTAGTGACAGTAAACATTCTAGCTGTCTATCCCAGTTGTATGTGTAATTATGTTGGCTGGTAGATGCTAGATGGATAGAACAGAGGGTGATAGCGATCTGTATGTTATGAAAACATTCACATGTTTTGTCATTATGGAAGAGTGCAATAATCTGATACCGTCCCCATAACCAACTCAAGCTGAATCTGTTTAGTAGCCCACTTGCCAGCTATCTGCTGAAACAAGACTTCAATAGTTAACTAATATTCTGGAGCTACATGTCCATGGTTAAATGTCTGCTAAGTTGCCTTCCATAGTTAACTGCCTT